GTTCATTGCTGTCTTCACAAAAGCCCACCACTGATCACTATCTTGAGCCAAACGAATCCTGTACACAACCCAGACATGGATGAGTGCTGTGTTGTGTTGTCCTGTGCAGGTAAATGCTTCATTCTGGGCTAATCCTTTGTCCAAGTAATCCTACTGCTTTTCTAAAGATTAATGGTTTCAGAATTACTTCTTAACTGCCAAAGACAGAGAGTCTAATCCTGACAGCTGAAGAAGTAGAAAGAATAAATACTTGTATTGTCTTTTCGCTTGCAGCAACAAATACTTTTGTAACAATTAATATTTTGCTTGACATTATCCATCATCTTGTCTGTTCTAAAAAACAGTCTAATTTCTATTAAAAACACAACGTTTCGGGAACTGGAATCTGTCCCCGTCTTCAGGTAAAACCTACTCAGTTGGGTCCAATAGACAGAGCTAGCCCCTATCTCCGGACAACTATGCCAATTTCCGAAGGGATTCATAAAAGAAGCACAACTCAATCCATCTGTGAGAGCTAAGAGATATTGAAGCTATCATAATTTGAGGCCTAGCACCAGAGAAAAATTTCCAGAATGAAATCATACCGGGAGAGAAGCAATACCCCTTGTGGTATACAAGCACAACAAAATCATCCGTGGGAGCTAAGAAATATTGAAGATATCATAATTTGAGTCTTAGCACCAGAGAAATATCGTGAATGAAATCAATACCGGAAGAGAAGCAATACTCCTTGTGGTACCAACATATGAAACCAAAAGTTACCCAAACCAACTACACTAGATGTCGCTGTAGTCTCTTGATTTCTGCTGTAACGACAGGGGCCCAGATGGGAGAGATATCCACACTGGGTTGACTGATTGGATGGTCCAGCAGAGACATGTGGGCTGATTCCTTGTATCTTCTATATGTGGTGTTGGGTTCGATCTGCAAGACCTTCGCTTCATTCCAAAGAATTTTGTGATCTGCCTCGTATGCATGTTGGGCCAATTTAGACTTTTCCAGCAAACCCTGTGTCATATTATATTTGTGCTCCTTAATGCGTACTTTTGTAGATGGATGTCAGCATTTTGGAGGAATACTCTGGCTCCATGGTTTTGATATTCACCCAAAAAAGTATACAACCCAATCCAAGAGACAACAATCTGAATACAAACCAACATGAAAACTTCAAATATTGTAGACAAACATACTCATAAATAATAATAGTTTCTTTCACAAACAAGAAGTCCTGACACCTGATTTTAACATGTATATCCAGGCAACATGGTTAAACTATATCACCATCATTTACAATTCCATCTGACAAAGAATTCTCTATTTTTCTGTGAATTCTTTTACCATTAAGGAAATTATTGATCAAGTATTCACACCACTGATCTACAATATCTCAGCCACTTCATTCTGAACTTTGAAGTTTTCTCCACCACCCATCATGAAGTTTTGTTATTCTGAAGCACTACAGACTGAGCGAGAACATTAATTTTATGATAGTGTGTCACTGAAGGTAGGACATCACTCAACAGTTGAGTGACTAACACTTTCCAAAGATTCTGTTCCATTGAATTACTCAGGTAGTTTCCTCCTGAGTTTCATAAACTAATTTTTAAGATACCAGGATGGGCAGATGATTGAGCAATTCACTGCATCACCAAAATCAAACACCATCAAACCAGCAATATCCTTTAGATTAGTTAGTTAGTTATTTAGAGAGGGTGGGTTTCCCCATGCACCGTGACCAGTTTGATCTATTGTGCTTCCCTCTATGATATTCTACCAGTCTCTATACCCTACTGATAAATGGTGCATACCATCAGTCCCGCCGAGCAAGGGAGTTCGGCCACTTGCTTAGAGGTGTCTATAATGCTTCTCCCATCTATCAGAGGCCTTAGAGACTATTGTTGGGCGGGAAACGTCCTGGAATTTGGCTGTGATCCCCTTTGGGGATATGAGGTTCTTTTACGTGCCGTAAAGTTACGACACGGGACACACAGCTTAAAGTCCCTCCCGGAGGACTTGTTCCCTGAATTTTTCCACCCTTAAAAATTCGACGACCTCCGCCGGGTATTTGATCCCGCGTATCACGAGTCATGAGGTGGGAACGTTACCTCTAGACTACGGAGGCCGCTGCCTTTATGATTAAATATTTCTTTGGAATTGTGGTCAAAAACCTCTAACATTAAAATAATAGTGATCTTAACATAAGTTAACTATTCCATTCCCAACTAATGTGACCTGCTAACTAACTAATGCCATGGAGCTGAGCCCTTCTTGAGAAGCTGCCAGTTTGTGCAGCTACTCAAGAACCTCTCAAAATTTTATGGACCCTAAAGATTCATTACCATATCCACAAGAGCCTTCCACTGGTCCCTAGCCTGAGCCAGCTCAGTCCTGCTCATACCACCCCATTCTGTCTCTCTAAGATCCATTTTAATATTACCCACCCACCTATGTCTTCGTCTTCCTAGTGGTCCTTCCCTTCTAACTTTCACATCATTAGCCTATATGCATTCCTCTTGCCTGCCATTCATGTTGCATGCCCTGCCTATATCGTCCTTGACTTGATCATTCTTATCATACTTGGAGAAGAGTACAAGTTATGAAGCTCCTCTTTATGCAGTTTTCTCCAGCCTCCTGTTATTTCATCCCTGTTTAGTTCAAATATTCTCCTCAACAACCTCACTCTATGTTCCTCCCTTAATGTCAGAGACAAAGTTTCACACCCACTCAGAACCACAGGCAAAATTATAGTTTTTTATATTTTAATTTTTACAGTTTTAGGCAACAGACAGGAAGACAAAAGGTTTTGGACTGAATGGTAGCAAGCATTACCCAATTTCAATCTCCTCTTAATTTCCTCCTGAATCAGGTTTGGTTGTGTCACTGTCTTTCCCAAATATCTGAACTGTCCTACATTTTCAAAACATGTTAGCTATCTTTATGTCCTGATTTTGCCCTGCATTTTGTTGATGAGACAGCAATATGTACTTAGTTTTCTCTGTGTTTGCTTCTAGACCAACCTCCTTACTAGTGTCAATTAAAGTTGGTGTGTTTTTCTTTGTGGTATCCATGTTATCACCCAGTAGATTCACATCATCGGCATAGACCAGCAGCTGATGTGTCCCATTTAATTTCAGTCCCACCTGGTATTCCTTGACCTTCCTAATAGAATATTCTAAATAGAGTTGAAAAGCTGTGGCAATAAAGCATCTTCTTGTTTTGGATCATTCTGGAAGGTTATCAGACAAATGTTTACCTATATGGACTTGACCATTATGTTTTATTTATACACAATTTAATCAGCCTAACTAGTCCCATAGGTACCCCAAATTCTATTTTAATATTGTACAATACTTCCCTCCTAAGTGAATTATATGCTTTCTTGAAGTCTATGAATAGCTGATGTACTGCCTCATTTTACTCCCATTTTTTCTTCATTATCTGACAAATGGAAAAATGTGATCAGTAGTTGATCTCTCATGCCGAAGCCCATACTGGTGATACCCAGTAATTTCATCTATGTACGGGCTTAACCTTGACAGAAGATATTGGATAACATTTTGTATGAAGTTAATGACAGTGATATCCCATGATAATTACTACAGTCAGTTTTATCACTCTTCTTGTTAACTGGTACAATATTCAACTCCTTCCACTGATCAGGAAATGCTTATTTATTCCAAATAGAATTAATAAGTTTATGGATCAGTTATGTGATCTGCATGTATACTAAAGCAAACAAAATTATCTGTTCCAACGAAACTCAAACAGAAAAGTGTACCACTGCTACTCTGTCTAACATGAATCTGGGACTTCTGCTGGGGTCTCTACTCAGACCTCTATGGTGAGAAGCCAGCATCTTATCACCTGATCTGTAGCACAGATCTGATGCTACACATAGGAAATATTTTCTTTCAGTTCAATCAACACAAAGTATTACTTACTTGTAATGTAAGTAGAGCTTTGAATGGTTGTGGGCTTCAGAAATCCAGAGATCTCTTCACAGATTCATACATCAGGTCAGCAGAAATTCAGTTTACCTACTTTTGACCCAAATAAGCAATGCAGGGGAGGAGACACTTGACAAAGCACTCCTAGAGCACAACTGATCAAAAACAACAACACAGCGCTGCACAGCGGAGTAGTACTGAGTATTTACCTGCTCTATGATGATGTGCTGATATTTGCATTCTCAGACAGGTAAAATGGGCAGTTAACAGCAATTATTAGCATCTCCATTCACTTCTTTCTTAAACATACGAGAAATAGAACAGTTCACAGTAAACTTAATGCACATATAAAAGCCACTCACACACAAAAATCTAAAAGTTCTTCACCTCACAGCGGGAACTGGGGCATAGGTTGTATGTAATTTTACGCACGCATGCGCGTGTGCACACACACACACACACACATATGAATATGCAGCCCTTCTTTCAGCTCGTACATGACAGTGCTAACACTAGCAAACATTTGATGTGTACCAAGAAACTAGTCAAAAGTCAGAAATTGCACGTCTGAGAGTGCACTGCTTTTTCAACCTTAACACTAAACCTGGGCATGAGAGTACATGAAAACATGTTTCTAGAAATAAGTGCCATATTTATGCCTTATAATGATCAGAAATGAAGCTCAAATGAGCAGTGAATTTCAATGATGTGGAACTACTCTAATTGAGTGGGTGACTGGCTTACTGGTATAATTTGAGAGCTGATATTCTTCAGTTCAGTGCAGCATTCTTCCTTTAAACGTTATTTTCGTTACATGTAATAAAAAAGCGAATTTACAAATAACATTACAGAGTGCCAGTCACTTTTTGCATGGAAGCAGAATACTGCAAAATATGGTATGAAATACTGAGCAATGGTAACCAGACACTGGCCCCCCCTAAACTTGAGACTGTTGACAGAGTTTAACAATGTTCAAGGTTCATGATAAAGGATCATATTTAATGTGGTGTGCAGGAACAAGGTGCTTGATTTATTTTAACACAAAGCCTTAACTCATTCCAACCCCATTTAATTCGGCTATGCATTTTATATTAAAAAGTACAACACCAATGACAGGTTTTAGGGGTAGTGCAAAAGTGTCATGATTGCATTAATACAATAGTCATTAATGCTTATCGTTAAAACTTAGAAGGAATCTCTTATGTAACAAAGACATATTTTCTTTTATATCCACTACTAGCAGTAACACAGAATAGTAACCATCTTATGCTTGATTTAGATAATTAACTTTAAAATTCGATTTGTCTCATTAGCACAAAGTCACAAAAAATTGCAAAGCCTTCAGTAGAAAAAACATACAATAACAATTATTACCACAAATAGTGTAGACCTTTGTATAACACTCAAATATGTGTGTCCATTTCTTCAATATAACTTAAAGCAAATAAGAATTATCAACAGTGATTATTATATTACAGTAACATGTAACCAAGTTATCAAGATTCAGATAAAATTCTTATGTGCAAAATAAAATACACACAAAAAATAACATTTCTGATATAACAACATTATAGTAAGAATGTTTGTTAAAGAATATGTCTCCCATCCACTAGAACCTAAACCATAAAGAGATAAGATATCATTTCTGTTTGTCTTTTATACATACTTCTTTATAGAGATAAGCTGAGGCAGTGAAAGGTTGGTGGTGTGGCTACTCATGGCAGTAACCTTACTTACAAGAGGCCCTCTTTCACTCCACCCCTTTATTTCTTGGTTACTATGAATTATCTAGCAGAAAAACAAGCCAACGGCAGACCACTGCAAACAACATACTTACACTTCTTCTGACCTTGACAAGGGTTGGAAAGTAAGCAGTATTACTTTGGGTTCTGGCCCCTTTTCATGCCATCACTAAACATACATAAGCATATCCTCTTACAAACAGAAAGTATTGACTCTTTAGAAACAGAAATATGCTCATACAGCTGCTTTTCATACTTAAATAGTTTAACACCTGGACAAAAGAAATGGAAATTCTTCATCATTCACAATAATATTTCATACATTGTTTTAATTCATATTACATCATAAAATCGTTCAATGCATTTTAATAATTTGTAACGTATTTTTGAAATACAACATGATTATTGCAGGTGAATTATTTTTCCTTTCAAATTGTTTCAATAATTACATGTGAGATCTGTGCATACACAGGACTGACCAGCACTACTTCTGCTGCAGTCTTTAAGTACAGGAAATAAAGGTCTTTCGTTTCACTTTGTACGAAGACAACATAACATTCTAGTAACACAGGTTTATATCACTGGCAGTATCATTTTTAGAATTATTAAAATTCCCATAAAGTTAAGTACATATATAGAACTTATTAAAACCCACAGAGACAACAGCTTTCAACAGAATTTTCGATATAAAATATTAGGGAAAACACAATAAGTAATCTTCCAACAACCAGTACAGTAAAGGTAGTGGTGTACAATTTGTGACTGGAATGTCTCACAGAATATTATTCTCTACATATCTTGAACATCTTTCAAACGTCATATCAGCAGTTGTTATTGAGTTGTCCATTTCAAAGAGTTGAGCTAATAGAAAGTTCCTTTTTTAATATAAATAAATTTTAAAATATGATGTTTCTTTCAACATATATACTTTCAAATACTAAACAAAGATGCAGTTTTTGATACCTTTATTCTAAGAAGCATGTTTGTTCTGGGTGGCCTACAAGATGCAGGCTTTGTCTTGTCAAACTTACATATAAGGTGAGTCCTAGGCATTGTACATTTTAAAGAATGATGCATCGCCTTTGTCTACCATCAACAAAAACATCGCTTTCAATTTTCAAAGATATGTTCTTGTAAGCCTGTAATGAAGCTGCTGCTGCAAAAAAATGTGGTAATGTCACTGAAAGAAATAAGACACACAGCTCAGTCTTTGTTTAGACAATACATGCTTTCTATGTTGCGCTCTGAAATTCTGCTGCATCCCTTCCTTAGCATAGGAACACCTGTCATCATTAACAGAAGGAATGATACTTTGCTGCATATAAGTTGAAAATCAAGAATGTTTTGTGCCATTTGCTTGTCTTTAATGCTTCACATGGTTGCTTTACTTGTATGCATAGTCGTGATAAATATTACTCACTCATTTCAATCTTTCACTCTTCTTGCTTTCATTAATTAATCCATTCACCAACAACCATTTTCTCTCTCACACAGACACACATGCATGCATAATACAAACATTGCTTAGATTGTATGCTTCGTTAGTATGAAGTACATTTCATAATTATTTATATTATAACGCAATATGACAGAATGTTTTTGTACTTAGAGGACATACCAAGACTAAGGGCTGAAGAAGTGTCTACACAATTCCTCCTATATATCATATGCATTCCTTCCCTCCCTCCTTACAATATTCATGTTACCATTCATCCATTCCACCCCTAGTGTCTCCATCTGCTTGAAGAACAGTTATTATTGTTATTACTAATTAATACTCAGTAGGAAAGAGCAGTACGGCTGTTCTCATTTTGAACACATTATGTGATGAGAATTATCATGGTTTGTTCTGCATGCTGCTACCAAACTAAGCAAACAGCAGCAATGTAAGCAGTAGAAACAATGTTGTGATGTGATGTTGACGTTGTCCCTGCATGCCATCCCTTCAGAAAGAGTGTCTTGATATGATTGGTCTAACAACAAGCTTACCATCATAACAAAAAGAGTTTTATTTTTATATATATTTTTATATATTATTCCTTAACTTGCCCATCCCATCCCCCGACTAACATCGCCCAAAACCTCGATACTTATAAATATAATAATGAGTTCATAACATCTCTATTTCAATAAATATTTACAACTACACAACATCGAATATACATTATAATATATTTCATAAAGAGGAATTTTAAGATCTGTCAAGATGCCAGATGCTTGAAATGCACAATACTTTGCTACCTTACTTACTTATTTATATATTATGATATGTTTCCATGCACAAAGTATGTGAGCAACACGTGTCTGCAAAGAACACGGTAAAGTAATAAATTAATGTTAAGAGCTAACCATTTTCTCACATAGTGGGAGGTATATTGCCAAGGTCATAGACATAGGCCTATTGAATGTAGATGCACAGGTAATGATAAAAATAGATTGTGGGGGTGCAAGTGGAGTGGAGCTACACCTAGCTCTATTGTGACCTTCATGTCATCTTTAGCACATTATTTAACAACCATTGAGCAAGAAAAGGGGTGGGGGGAGAGAGAGAGACAGAGAGAGCACTATATTGTTGTCTTGCAGATGACCATGCACTGTCTCCCCACTGACTCTACCTGTCTGTCAGCTGATATATTAGCTTTGCCAAAAGGGAGAGGAAAGTTAGGGGTGGTGGTGCAATCAGTTTGAAATAAACTGTTGGGCTACACTCCTCTGTTTAGTTGTAATAACCCCCATGAAATATAGATGTCAGCACATGTAGCATTCCACTTCACGCACCCTTTTGTAGAGACAACGCTTCTGCACTGATACGTAGCATGCAGTGCCCAGTGACCACCAACTCTCCTGGCAGAGTCTCCAAGGCCTGGGTGGAACAGTCAAATCTGTGTGTACCAAGTTCCAACAGCAGAGTAGAGACGTATGACAGAAGAGAAACAAGTGAATGTTGGCTCCTATAATCCTGTTGGCAAAAATTAAATTGTATTAATCAGCTCTTGATCTGTCTATATCATGGTGCTGCTTCAAATTATGGTAATAACAGAGCACTGACAGACTGGAGCATGTGCTAGTTGCGGACCTACCAACAATGGTCTCCTGTAGCTCCTCATAATTTTCATAATTAGAAATGCGACATGGAACCTGTGCTTTGTATTCCTTCAGTACTACATACTATAGCTGGATTGCAAGGGCGTGGAGCAAAGCCTCCACCACTAAAATAAAATCTCAGAATACAAATGATTCCCACGCATGAGTACTGGCCGTTTCTTTGTTTTCTAGGCACATTTTAAGAATCTGTGCAAACAGGTCTGTTTGCTTGGCCACACAAATGTTCAGATGTCATATCTGGATCTACATTCATTGAATCTGTATGATTCCACACTCCTTCAAGGCAAAACAGAGGATTTCTGAGACGTGACACTCACCTCTCACTGTACGTCCTCCTCACACTTAGGAATGTCAAAGATCTCCGCAAAGAGTGGGGGTAGTCTCAGCTTGGCCCAGTTGAGGCGGAACCAGTCCAAGTGAGCGGAGTGTTTTGCGCCTAGGTTCTTCAGCTCTTGTAGCTTGAGCAGCAGGTTGGCCAACATCTGTGGCTCACTCGCGTGATTGCGGCATACCTGTCCAAACCAGTGTCACATATGAAGAGATATATATGAGGCTAACGTAGATATTGCAAGAAATATGCAGAATTTTGAAGTCAAAACCCCATGGAAGACCAAAAATATATGGCAGGGTGATATTACTTACATCTGTGTAGTAAAAACATGCTGCAATAGGAATTTGCACAGAAGTGAATGACAGCATCACCATGTACCCTACACGGACAGGTTTCATATGAAGTTGGCATCATACAGTCTTCCCAGAACTTCTTGTTCTGACCACTTATCACAACTGCCCTGACTTACAAATATAAATAAGCAACTCTAGCGAGACCCACCTGCACTTTCAGGGCGTCAATGAGGCGATCCTTATGATGCTCAATAGTCTTGAGGTCCGTGACCCCCGGACGGTCAGCGGTGAGGAGGACTATAGCAGAGAAAAGGCCCAACTCTGTGTCATTGAGAGCAAATGCATTTAGCGTAGACGCGAAGTGAAACAGTGACGACACAAATTCGGGCTGCAAGAAAGAGAAGCAGAGAATTCAACACAAACTTGAAGACACAGAAGCATACTTAGACCTAACAGACTTATTATCTTACACAACATTACTGCATTACAGGTCCACTACTGTCTGTTATTGAGTGCTTGAACTCAAAGTGGTAGGATAGTATTAACCCTGTAGCAGTTGCAGGCAGAGATATATGAAAAATTTAAAACAGAATAATTTAAAAGCTGTATAGTTCAGGGTCATGCTGCAGCCCTGGCATCTCACCAGGTACAATCCTTGGTCCTTTCATGTAAGATTCATGGTGGACAAAATGGCAATGAGCAAGTTTCCCTATGAGTTCCTTCTATTTTCCGCTCCTAACGGCCATTCCACTATTGCTCCATATTCAGCTATCACTACACCCCAATTTGTGCCATTGCTCTGACCAGGCAGCACACTATCAGAAACTCAATCTTAAGTTTGGGCCTTTGTCTGAGACTTGTTGCTTGGCTGGTTACAGAGTGAGGACACTGCTTAAGTACATTCCATCTCTAATTGAATGTGAATCAGTTTTGGCAGTTACATGTTGGATATGGTTACATACATCATACATGAGGTCCATCTGCTGACGGGTGATGTAGGTGCCATCAGCAAAGGTAAGCGAGGAATCTGATGTAAGTCGTGCTACATGACCCAGCCAGATCTCAAAGAAACCAACCTTGATGAGGATCAGCTGATCATCCTGACTTAGGTCACAGAAACCTGAAAAGAACACAGTCTTGCTCTCACCCTGTTATGTTTGTCTTAGTTTCCTGGAATGGCAACACTTCCTCTCCATCCAGTACTACAAACTAGACAGTGGGTGAGGGACAACTTGTCCGACTCAGAAAGACTGAGCTATGAGGTGTCAGATATCTTTCTTGAACTTATGGCCGGATTCAGAAGGAAATATTTCTCTACCAGCAATGCATGTGCTTAAATGATCTACTCAGGCTAGTGGCCAGAAAATGACTCTAAATCCCAGGTTCTCATCCTAAGAGAGTGGTGCTGAAATTGGGGGAAATAAATGGAGTAATGAGGAGCTTCATAGTGTGTGGGCCTGCCACTGAGGTCAGTCTTGTTACCCAAGCAATGTTTACCAGGGATATTCTTGGAATGTTCTTGTTGGTAAAGGGTGGCCGGTGCATAAGGCTGACAACCTTGCCGCCATCATTGTCTAGAAAATGTGGGAATCTCAACATCTCACAACTCTATGGGCCTCCACGGCCTCTTACACGGATACTTTTACTTACTTTTACTTTTACCCAAGCAATGTACCTGGCACTCTCTTGGCAAACTCGACCACCCTCTGGACGCTTGGAGTAACTCGTGATGCAAACTGCTGCCATAACCACACTCGCTGCTGCTCCAGGGACTCTGCTGTGGAGGATGCCACTTCTGGACCCTCGGGACTCGAACTTCCAGCTGCTACAGGCTGAAACATCAATAAAAATGTTGACACCACCAGGTACGATGTACTGCAATGTCTTGTCAAAATGTCTGTGCACCTACTCACTTTCCATCTTGTGAAACGGGTATTTCAAAATTGTTCTTTGTGAGGAAATTAATTAAAAGCAGAGGCGAAGTTGTCCCTGGACTTAATTAAGCACCACACTATGAAAACAGGTATAGCTCCATGTAACGCTAAGCTCAGCACTAGATGGAAGTTAGCGATCAGCTACATGTTCTGGCTGCTTTATCACTGTGGAAACGGCCCCAAGTACCCACTGAATAGGAGGTCAGGTGAGCCTCAGAACCAGTGGTTTCCCCCGGGAATCCAACCCCAATTCCCTGGCCATTCGGTCTGCTCACTGCACAAGCTGAGTTAAGCCACTGTTCACAGTGGTACACAGTTGTGTAGATGCTGCTAATTTTAATATTGTTTCTGTACATACAACAATGCCAGAGTGGGGTGTGGTGTGACAGTTAGCACAGTGCTTTAGTCTGGTATTGAAATGGCTCCAGGATCCATCCAAACCATCGCCACAAATATAAGAATAAATAGTAAATATCTGTCATTGTCATGAGATCCAGCACCTCAAGACGGTGTACAGCCATCCTCCGAAACGTCGTGCATATCAGATATAGCTGAGACAATGTCCAACATCCATATATAATTTGAGGTTCTCACAGAATGGTTATGAATGAGTTCTATCTTCTACAATACAACGCCGTGTAGTCTATGATTTCTTGCTCGGCTGAATCTTCGACCCTTAGCATGGAGGCGACATGTTCCTCCGACTCGTCGATTGAATTTTAACGGACTACACAGCATTATATCCCAGAAGATAGTACTCTTAATATCCGTATAGTTGACACCTCAGGTGTGCTTGCACTTCTAGCCACAAGGGGTGGGCCTTCTCGGCCCTTGCACCGCGACCTACAGTGATCTATTGTGCTTTTCAAGCAATGTAAGTTTCATGCTACTGTCAGCTGATTTGCTCCAGCCTGTGGGAGGGGCAGAAGTAAAAGAATGACAGCTTGGTACAGGGTACAGACCGGTTGCGCCTGCAGAGGTTTCCGTACGAGGCCTCGGGTCTGCTCCTCGGTGTAGCCGCAGTTGGCGTGGAAGGCCTGCGACACCGTCAGGATCACGTCGTACACGGCCAGCTGTTTCGTCTCGGCATCTGACTGTTCGGTGTCCGAGGAGGACACACGTGGCGCAGGGGCCGCAGAATCCTCCCCACTCCGCTCCCGGGACCTCTTGGGGACACGCCCGTACCGCACAGCTGTCACAGAGGGTTCACATCTCAAAGGGGTCAGTAATCATGACACGCCGTGAGAGAAGTTCAATTTCACTTATTTGCAATTGGCAACAGTGTCAAATGGATCGGATGGTGAATGGCGTGGAACGAGGAGTGTCGCCACGTGCTCTGACACAGCCATCCCATGAAACGTTCGGCACGCAAGCAGGTCCTAAGATGCCATCGACTGAGAGACGCGCGTTTGTTTTAAAACCAGGTTTCAGGGCAAGAGAAAGGACATGCATTACAACAGAAATTGTCAATATCCTAACAACAAAAAAATCTGTATTAATAAACACAGGTCAACACAGAGCTGAAGATGCAAATTAAACAAACGTATCTGTTCGCTGTTCATTTCATTTGTGCACCCAGTCTCACGTTGAGCATACGGATTTTTCTTGTCACTTTTTAAATCAGGGCATTCAAGATCGAAACTGTCCCTAAGACCGTTTCTCTGTTTACCTATTACTTTCTTCCAGGCAACCTAAATCCATTCCGCAAGTTCTAAAGTGGATGTCCTCTTCATCTTTCCGTATATTGTTACTGAGAGGTTTTCTGACAGCAACCAAGCCTCGTTAAGTTAAGTAGCTTATTAACGGAAACATCGATATGTCAAGTTGGCTTGCCACGCCACCAGGAATCACAACCAAGTTATACTCGTTCCTCTCAGATTTTAACTTTCAGTGCTGCAGAAATACCCACGAAATGCGTCAAGGGCTAACATACCTGGTGGGTTACGCAGAGCTTGAGGGCGTCTTTTACAGAAGTTTTCAGCCAATGTTCCAGCAAATCAGCTCTCATCTTTCCTTTTTTGTGTATGAACAATAACGTCTTAATGGAACAGACCATTCTTAGGTATGCATTTGCGGTTTAGTTCAGAATAATTTACGGCCATCACCAGTTGTGCACAGCATCAGCATTGCATGCTGTTTTCCGAAACCAGCGCCTCTAATCTTGACTTTATCTGCACCTTTCGTAACGACAGCGTAATTGCCAGACATATCGAAACACACCGCCAACTCCTGTACATTTCCTGCATGCCTAAACACAGAGTTCTGTTTCTTCCTCTGTTGAATAAAGTACTGCTAGACGTTTAGCAGCTTCTCTTGAAAATCAGTTGGACTGCTTGGGCGACAGTCCTTCACGGCGCATGAATTTGGCACTCCAACCTCGCCCGGCTTTTGTTATTTCGAGTAAACTGGTGTCCCTCTGCAGCATCACATCGGGGTGTCTTCATTCTTGGGTTACACGGAAATATGGAAGCACGGACCAACGTTTGATTTCATTTGCTGTACACGTATATCCTGCAGCTGGATCACCTTGTAACGGCTTTTCGTGTCAGTGGTGGTCACAGTGGAACCGTCCAGATGACGGTACTCCTACGTACGGTATTTGGGGCTTGAAATTTCGTGTAATAATTGAAACACACGCCACATGTGGCACCAAGCGTGTCCAGCAGCGAACTGAGACGATAACCGAATGTTCAGCAACGTCATGGGTACCCCACCCACTTCCCCGTTCCCGTTTCTTGACTGTTTTAATTTTTCAATACACAACAGTGAGCGCCGGTGTAACAATAAAACTGACAGATCTGTATACATTCCAGAGTATTAGTTAATATTAAAACCACTTTTTGTTTTCAGCCTGCAAGCCTCCGTCATCTGCTTTTCACAGTTCTTCTTTGACATGTGCGAAACCTTTTTAGCGGTAAATACTATTCCGCTGTGGAAACTACCCAATCCTACTCTGAGAAACTTCATAGAGAAGTACAAACAGCGCGAAGTGCCGGAAGAATCCACTGTGCGCAAAAATTACGTGAAGCAGAGTTACGATCTTACAACTGAAAACATTAGAGATAAGATTCAAGATAATTTTGTGTGGGTATTAATCGACGAAACACAAGGCTGTGAGGGACGGCTTATTGCAAATATTATACACGTAGTTGGATCCACTACTAAGAATGAACAATCCACACAATATCTTCTTGCGGTAAAGCAATATAAAACCACAGGTAGCTCTGCAGTTTCGGAAATTTTTATCGATTCCATGAATTTACTATGGCCGAATTACATTCGGTATAAGCCCGTACTGTTCTTTGTGACTGATGCTGCAAGTTATATGATCAAAGCCGGTACTGCTCTTAAAATTATATTTCCAAATATGGCACATTTGACTTGCCTTGCCCGTTGGTTGCACCGTGTTGCAGTAATAATTCTTGCAAATTTTCCGCTTGTTGACAAGTTGGTTTCTTCTGTGAAGAAGACATAGAAAAGAAGCCTTTAAAGCAGTAGCACCGAACGTTCCACTTCTGTCACAGACAATTTTAACGCTCTGGGCACGTGGCTGTGTGCAGTGAGTTGTAATACCGAACATTTAGAAAAGGTCAGGAATGTTGTAAAAACATTTGATCCCAAAAGTGCAGCATTAATTCAAATTGATCACGATGCACACCAAAATCGCAGAACTAGAAACATCCTTTCTGCTCACTTCTCTCAACTTCCATCCGCCATTTCCTCACTGAGGGCACGCGATAGCAATACTACTTTGTATCAATCGTTATGTGTATTCAAAACAAATGTTTCCATATTGAATTCGGTTCCTGGAAGAGTTGGTGTAGCAAAGGAAAAAAGTATATAGAATTCTTCCAAAAACCCGGGATATGAACAAATTTGTGAAACTGAAGACATTTTAGAAGATAGTACGCTCTATATTACATTTCCGGTGAAAGTACCTGAGTAGTTACCGATATACTTTTACTGGCTTCTGCAAGCCTCAAGTAATTTCCACATTTAACTACTTTTGACGCTTTCTCAACGAGCAACTTGAAACAAAAATGCGCCAATTAGATTCGCCAGTCTAGTCTGTCCGCATGCACCGGTAAATGTATCTTCATTAAAGTTGGAATTGGGGAATTGCGGTTTGTCGTCCTGTTTGAATTTTTGTTGAAATCGGACTAAATTAACTTTAGCGGATAGAGGTGTCGCGTGTTCAGCGCCACGAATCCCCACGGCCGTTGGCACTATCTTCGCCGACAAGCGGCGATCGCTCGGTCGGTATAGTTCGCTTGCGGACTAAAGCCTCGGAGTTCGTTTTGTTCGGACTAAGACAATTGACACTTCACATCAACATCGGCAGGCGTTTGTGCGGGGATGTGGAAGGAAACTGAAAGCGGAAAGCTTGAGTGTGGGGCGCCTACTCACAGTCGCGGGACATCCCGACGGCAAGACATTTCTTGAACCGACAGTACTGACATCGGTTCCTGTTGAGCCTGATGACCAAACACTTGCCGTCCCTCAGGCACCTGTACTCGATCTGCTTCTGGATGCTTCGCCTGAAGAAGCCCTGAAACAGAACATGCTCTTATCAACAGGTTACACTGTCGGCTCCAGTCTCTCACCTACTGAGTATGAAGAGTGTCTCCTGAGGTATGAATCCGTGTAGTCTGGCACCTCCGCCTTCACCTCAAGGGTAAAATATTAAGCCAAGCTGCTTGTTTGGTCGGCGGACTCTGCGATCCTGGAGGTGGAAGCAGCACTTGCCTCCGAAATGGTAGTAAACTTCTGCCAGACTATACGGTGCCACGCCACATCGCCACGGAAACATGAAACCTGCACAACACCTTGCCACAGAGCGGTGGGGCTCTGACGGTTCCTGCACCCCCACACTGCAGTAGCGAGAGGAAGGACATAGAAACCGAAATCTGTGGGCTTTGTGTGCGCTGGGGGCAGAAATGGACAGCACACGGGGGTCACGCCATCATGCCCCCTCTCCATTGATACGTTCAGGGGAGCTCAAGCGCGTGTCAGTCTCAGTTGCTTCTGAAACCCGGGGAAAAGGGGGAGTCAGGGGAGAGGTGAGAGCTTCTTTATTTTGAGGGGGAGTGAAAGCATAATTTTCACTTACGGGCCTCGGGCTTCGCCCGGTCGACCACCTGACAAGAGTAGTACGGAAGTGAGGACGTTATGGTGGTTACAAATACGAATTTGAAAGAGGTAAAAAGGGTAAAAAAAAAAGCTATCCCTCTAACAGGTCGTGAAGCCGCATAGGGTTGTGAAACGTCAAGGCTCCCGCATTTTCTCTAGACAATCAGCTCACAGATGGCGGTAAGGTTGTCAGCCTTACGCGCCGGCCGTGCTTTACCCCACATGAAGATTCCTGGTACTCATTTCTGTTAGAGGCTGAGTCGACCCAAGGGCCATTGTGCGACTGGAACGATTAGATAAACTAAAAAAAAAAAAAAAATCCACCTCATCAGGACTCGAACCCGCGACGTTCCCCCTTGTGGCATAGTGCCACAACCAGCTACGCTACCGCATGCCCCTAGTTTGAGAGTTAGAACGGGGAATTCTGATTCTCTGAATTAATGAAGAAGATAATTTGGTGGTTAAGTAAGATATTGATCTCGTGTCCTTGCTTAACAATTATTTATTGTTATCGTCAGTTATTTGTGGTGCAGTTTTTTTAGCTTCGTATATAAGAACTGTTAGGAGCTGCGTAAAAACGTTTTGATTTCGAAAAGGAAACACTGAATTAGAGGAACGCGCTGGGTTATAGATATGAAGCTTCATTTAACTGTTATCCACAGTGAGATACTTCGGCAAACTTCGGGTGTGATCGCAATGTCACTGTCACACGGTGAGTACAAAGTTTACTGCAAAGGAATTACGGAAAGACTGTGATGTGCTCCCGTCTTCTTCACAGAGTTGGTTCGAGACATCTCGTTCCAACAGTTGCCGAGTTACGCTCGATATGTGCACAGAAATGCGTGCCGCTCTTCTTGCGGTGTCCAGTTTTAAGCAACATTGGATTGTTCTGACAAATTTCAGTAATAGCCCCCGGTATCAAAGTTCACGGTTCTCTGTCGGTGTGTCAGAGAGTAAAGCCTCGAGTGATAGGTTCATAGGAGAATAACGAAGAGGCAGAGATGGGCAAAGAAGCAACCGTGGCTTCATTTCTGATCCTGTACCGACATTTACTTGTAGGGACTCAGGAAAACTAGGAAAAATATTAGTACAGTCGGTGTACAGACCAATAGTAGAACCGAACACTTCCGGAATGCAAGTGAGAAACCTTAACGCTTGAACCAAACTGTTTTTAGGGAAATTTATTGACCAACTGAGCTATTGTAGCCTTTCCAAAAGGACTCTGCTCCATGAATTTTGTTGCTTACATCACCACGCACCTGAAACGTGCCTTCGGATCTGAGACGGGTTTCGACCCAGTATCTGTGTAATTTATGGGCTCTCAGAAAGAACCCATCAGTCTGCTCCGTCTGTGATGAAAGAAATATCGAGACGAAAAGATGGATAATCTTTCAATTCCCTTAATGTTCTTTCCCGCTCTCATCTTTGGCTTCTCCACAGATGTTGAACGGCGAATTTGAAGAGTGAATGATAAGTCCCATATATATTAACCCTCCCTCTGTCTGCCACTTTCAGCGTATAAATAAAGAATTTAACGCCCTCTCCGCGTCAGCTGAAACGAGTTCGCGTGAACGCAGGTGGAGGCGCCACATGACGGCTTGGCAATGGTAGCATGAACGTGCATTTGCGCATGCTTATTCCTAGTATCATAAAATGAACAGCAATTTGCAGGTCATGTATGTCACGTGACGGTCAGTGGGCTGGTATGGAGTAGCTGGAGTGGCGTGAGAAGGTGAAGATTTTCTTGTGGAGAAATGTATGAGGGTGGAATTCTTGTCTGATTGGTGAACTGAGTGAACAAATCTTATTTATTGACCCTCTGCCACGACTACCTACATCTGGCGAACATTCTGAAGCAGCAATCCTGCCGAATTTGCAGGATATGTAATTAACTTCTATTTCCATTTACGCTTAAAACAAACCAAGTATTGCTCAATAGCACAGGAATCGTTTTGTATTGTTGGAGTAATATTATTTGGGACAAACAGGGGATGGAACTTGAGCTACATAGAACACGCTCCTTTCTCTCTGCAAATTCAGAAGCGGTGTCTCATGTTCAGGAAGTGTCACCCAGACCCACAGGAATGAGGACGTTGCGATGAGCACATTACCTTGCATCCTTCGCAGGACGTGACGCCGTAGTGGTAGCCCGACGCCTTGTCGCCGCACACTTTGCATGGGACGAACGACTTTGTCGGAGTCGAACTGTTGGAGTCCGCTGCAGCGTAGTGTTGCTCTGAAACACAGAGCAGAAGGAAATGCGACTGTCAGATGGCTGCTAGAAGATCCCTGGTCAGATACAGAGGACAGCTAAATAAGCAATCGCGGACAGCCTCTGGCCTGGAGGAGTGGCGTGGGGTTAGCAACTCCTCGCCGTGCAATGTCAGCATGTCATCCGGATCTCTGACCTGGACGCATTCGTTGGAACGACCCAAACAGCAGGGAGACACACAGAACGTGGAATCTGAGAAATGTGTATGGGACAATTTACTTCAGAACATAAACGGAAGCAGATGGGCAGGGTGAGCAGCACACATGACAGAACTGAAATACACAAAGAGGCGACTTAAGATGGGAAAGACTAAATGGGAGAGTTGGAGTAAAACAAAACTTCAAGAAATGTGGTTGGAGGGCGAGGAATGGATCCATTTAGCTTGGAACAAGGACTAGTGGCATGTTTTTGCAAATACGGTAATGAACACTGCACTTCCACATATGGCGGAACATTTGTTGAGTTACTGAGTGACTGTCAGCTTCTCAAGAAGTGCTATTGTGACTACAGGCCAGAGAAGTACTTGCACAGAAATTGAGGCTCCTGGCCGCCTCCACAGAAGCAGCGCACACGGAGACATACTGCACCTCTTGTCTTAGTTACAGAAACTGGTTCTGTCTCCGTCGTCAGGCAAAAACAGAAACACTCAGTGTGGCCCATTATTCGGGGCCAGTCTCCATCTCTTGACGAACTTTCGCGGCGCAAACAAAGGAACAGCGTGTTTAAACTGTTACAAGCTCTGACTTCATTTCTTGAACAGTTCTATGATGGATTACCTTTGTTCACACCTACTTTCACACTTTTTTCACGCCTTTTTTCATACAATTTTTCACACCTTCTGTCACACTGTTTTAACACCTTTTTCACACATTTTCCCACCTTTTTTACACCTATTTCCACACATTTTTCCACAATTTTTCACTTTTTCACACTTTTTTCAACCATTTCTTCACACCTTCTTTCACACATTTTTCACACCTTCTTTCACACGTTTTTTTCACACCGTTTTATACCTTTTTCAAACCTTATTTTCACATCAAAATTCACAACTTTTTTCACATCTACTTTCACACCTTTTTCACACCTTTCACACATCTTTTTCACACAGTTTTCACACCTTTCTTCACATCTTTCACACCCTTTTCACACCTTCTTTCACACCTTTTTTCGCACCCATTTTCACGCTTTTTTCACACGTTTTCTCACACCTTCTTTCGCACTTTCTTTCACGCCTTTTCGCACCATTTTTCACATCTTTCTTCACACCTACTTTCAAACCTTTTTTTCACACCTTTCTTCACACCTTATTTCACGCCTTTTTTCACACGTTTCACATTTTTCGCGCCTTCTTTCACACGTTTCGCATTTTTCACGCCTTCTTTCACACCTTATTTCACACCTTTTTCGCACCATTTTCACACCTTTCTTCACACCTACTTTCAAACCTTTTTCACGCCTTTTTTCACACCTTCTTTCACACCTTCTTTCACACCTTTTCCACACCATTTTCACAACATTTTCACACCTTTTTCATACCTTTTTTTCACACCTTGTTTCTCACTTGGCCGCTTTACCCTCGCAGAAGAACATCTTAAGAATTGTATCCATTGAACATGAGGCTGGGCGGGCACCAAGACCGGTGTGACACTGTGGGGAAGAAAGAGAAAACACTTCTCTGTCTTGCCCCAGCCGGGAGTCGAACCATGATTGTCTAACCCATATCCTAATCGCTATATCGACTGGGTTATTCTGCCCCCCAAATAAGGCGCCATCTTCTGGGACGTGTCGCCGTCTAGTTTACAAGTTGACAGATGTTTTGGAAGAACGTACTGCGCTGGTTCGGGTGGAGGCATCGCGTTCCTCCGAAACGTCGGCAAACATTTACCGGACTGCACGGCGTCACATCCCAGAATATACACCGAGCCGAGAGCCGCACCAGACGAAACGTCAGGAGGAACCAAGGCTCTGTGCGCAGCGGCGTGGCGCAGGAAACGACAGAAAGTTGCCACTCTGCGCAAGAGCGTAACGGCAACGACAGCTGTCCGTCCCGTTATGGCTTAATCTCGTTCTAAGTGGTGACCATCGCTTTGTGAATAAAGTAAGCAAATGTTCCACGGCAACGGTGCGCGGGCGGAGGACCGCGCCTCCTGAAGCGACGCGACAGACACGGAACACGCGCCGCAGGGGAAAAACGCATACGGTTTAACCGGTTCAATGAACCAATCCATTTCTTCGTACGAGGAGATTCCTGGGGCATTGAACCCGGTTTCCCACGTTGCCGCACAGGTGGCTGGGGCAACCGGGCCCGGCGGCATGCGTACATTGCGTTCATTTGTTGCGGGGCTGCCGTAACGGAACTCCTCGCCGTCGGTTCTTCCTGGAAGGAGGGAAAGGAACGCATGGACACAGCCGTTCCGGGCGTTCCCGACAGGCGCTTTCGGCTCCTGCTTAACTCTCCAAAGCGCACCGGTTATTATATTGTAAGAGCAAGGTAAATTAATTCTTGTGCCATGAAAACGTATGGAGAGTGGAGGTACGCTCCACGGATTCTTAACCTGGGAACTAAATGGAAATAGATAACTATATGTACCACCTTGTTTAACGTTCCGCATTTTGCCCATACATTGTAATTATGGGTTTCGTGTGAGTCTCGATACAAACAGCGACCCAATAGCGCTAACTGATCGGTCTTTAAAATGGAGACAGAAACATAAGGCGAAAATTAGGTTTTGTTTACGTTTCGTCCTCACGTGTTTGTTTTTGATCGGAAAGGATTTCGGATAATTAGCCAAGCCCCAGGAGGATGCGGTGTCCCTGCTGAGATTCGAACCGACGTCAATCCGCTCGGTCGCATCCCCTCTTTGCGTTTCATGCAGTTACAAGTTCGCGTGCTGCGTGGTTGTGTGCTACATTGCCAGCCGATCTCCCTGACTGCCGAGGATGTGACAATGTGCCGCTTGGCCACGGAGCGCCCAGAGATGAGTATTGAGCAATGGCTGAATGATCATTGGTAGGGTAAAGATGAAGAAAATTGGACAAAAATCTGTGGCACTCCGTCGGTCATGAAGCTGAAGTGAATTCAGCCGGGACTGAACCCAGAATACCCGCCTCACGGTTTTATCGTGCGACAGACAACGCGACGTTGCTTCCTGTGATCAAAGTTCAGCCATTTCGATCGGAGACGAAGAAAGTGGGCCACTTTGCGCTTCAGTGAAATGGCTTATCTTATGAAAACAAGTGCCACAAGAGCCGACACAGATCTGAACGCAGGAGTGTGCTTACACAACACAGCTACTTCGCCAAACTCAGCGTCGAATTGTAGGACGAGATATGTCTCCTGCGATATAACACCCTGTAGTCCGTTTAAAGTGAACCGACGTTTCGGAGGAACATGTCGGCTCCAGCTCTACTTTCAAATAGCTTTATGCTGGTTTCCTGCTTGGATTATTTTTCGACCCTGATGATACAGGCGACATGTTCCTCCGAAACTCACAAAGAAATACCCCAGTCACGATAATCTGTGTCCTGGTCGAGGTTCGAATCGAGGACATTAAGAATGCAAGTCTAGAGCTGGTTCTCATGACTGGGTCTTTACGTGGCTTTCCCCAGTCTCTCCAGGCAATTTTCGGGATAGTATCGATAAAGCCAGTGCCGTTTCCTTCCAAATCCCGCCCAAGCTACCATTCGACAGCACATAATGTAGCTGCTGACGGCGCCGTTAAATAAGACTCCAAGGCACACGGGTCATCTGCACACCCAACGGATCCATGCCACTGGCTCTCCTGTTTCCCGCGTCCGCACAATGTTCACAGAATCTCGCTGAGGGCATGGCGGCCGGAACGTGAGGCTTACCACACACTATAACCTTATTAAGAGGTCGACAATCTGTGGAACTTCACAGCCACTAGCGGCTAGAGGCATGAGGACTGACCAGCTCCATGCGGTAGTCTCTCTTCAGAAGCTAACAGTTGCTCAGCTATTAGAGATACTCCCAGAACTTTATGGAAGCTGGAACACTGGTTCCTATCATGAGCCAGGCCGGTTCGTTCCACGTCTCCGAGACCTACTTTACTAGTATACTCCCTTTGCGTCCTATTGTGAACATACAGTCAAGTTTCCTGTGCCGTCGCGCAGCACGCGATATTCTGGCCGTTGCGTAACAAGTGACTGCATTGGATGTACCAACGAATCAGTCTATTTATTACGTCAGATTAAAAACGCTACACGTTTCGGGCTTGCCGGCCATTTTAAGGCGTGCGCATGCAAAATCACAAATACTCGTATATTTCGCTTCTGTTGAACATTTAGCTTCAAAATGGATCCATTAATGGTCAATATAGCTAAAGTTCCCTGAAATGTCTAATTTGTGTTTTAAAAAGTGAGATCTACAGTTTATAAAGTTATAAAAATAGACAGAGGTATAGGTATCCATGTAACAGGCCGTGGAAGCGGCCTCCGTAGTCTAGAGGTAACGTTCCCACCTCATGACTCGTAGTACGCGGGTTCAAATACCCGGCGGAGGTCGTCGAATTTTTAAGGGCGGAAAAATTCGGGGAACAAGTCCTCCGGGAGGGACTTTAAGCTGTGTGTCCCGTGTCGTAACTTTACGGCACGTAAAAGAACCTCATATCCCCAAAGGGGATCACTGAACCAAATTCCAGGACGTTTACCGCCCAACAATAGTCTCTAAGGCCTCTGATAGATGAGGGAAGCATTATAGACACCGCTAAGCAAGTGGCCGAACTCGCTTGCTCGGCGGGACTGATGGTACGCACCATTTATCTGTAGAGTAAAGAGACTGGTAGAATATCATAGAGGGAAGCAGCACAATAGATCAAACTGGTCGCGGTGCATGGGGAAACCCACCCTCTCTAAATAACTAACTAACAGGCCGTGGAAGCCCACGGGATTGTGAACCGTCGAGGCTCCCTCATTTTCTAGGCAATCGGCTCATAGATGGTGGT